AACTATTATAAAATTATCATTATGCACTATAAAATAGTGATACGATAAGTTTAAGGTTCATTTTGTAATAGTTCGATAAGTTTAACGACCATTTTATAATAGTTTGATAAAGTTTAGTGATAATTTTATAACGTTTTGAAAATTATAAAAATAATTTATAATTTCTTGAAATTTTAATAACTAAAAAAATATTTTAATATGATTTATAATATATAACAAAATAAAATAAAATTTTATATTATTGAGATTTGGACACGTGATTGAGAATAATACCACATGGAGAGGATGATACCGTAAATATTTTTAAAATATTTTTATATTATAGTATATAAAAAAATTTATTTTTATTTAATATTTACTTGTAAATTACTTTGTAAAAGTATATATTTTTTAGGTCAATGACATGGACCTTAAGTTCTAAATTAAATGGACACAAAGCCCATCGGGGCATGTAGATCCAGCCCACAAACAACAACTCTCTCTTCATCAAACTAAAACAAGGAAGAAGAAATCTGGGGTTTATGCTTCTGGGTTTTTGGGAACCAAAGGAAACATGGCGGCTACATGTGGAAGAAGAACCCTAGGGATCTCATGCGCTTCGGCCAAGACCATTTTGACCCATTTACTGTCCTCAAGACCTGCAAATAATAACCTTGCTGGCCTTTTCTCTCCTAGCAAAATCTCTGCTTCTCGATTCTCTCTCCGCAATCTCACTTCTTCCAGGTTTTGCTTCCATTTTCCAAGTTACTGCTTCATTTCTTTGTTACAAAGTATTGTGGGCATTTTGATGTTTTGTTCTAAGTTCTGAATATGAAATTGCTTGATGTTTCTGTTTTAGGCTCCCAGTGGAATTGGGTGGTGCAGTAACTTTGATTCCATTGCACAGTGCTACGGCTTCCGCCTTGTTCACTTCGTTGCTTTCTTTGCATAATCAAAGCTGGGGGTGTTTGTCAGAAGGTGATTTCTGCTGATGTTGCCCCCTTTTGTTTGTATATTCTTCTTTAGCTTATTGTAGTGGCTTTGGGTTGCATTATTAGCAGTGTTTTATTGTCTGAAATTTCTATTCATTGCTACATTATTTGTATCTTTCTCACTTTGAGGGGAAAAATGTGCTCTTGTGTTTTAAGATTGTTTGCCCTTTGATGGGTAAATAGAATGGTGGAAAAATAGCTTGGGAAGGTATTTGGTTTTGGGATTGAGCGGGCAAATAGGTAGTAAGTACAATGGAGCTAGAAACTATTTTAGTTGATCGATATAATGAACATCATCGTACGCAGCCTCTTCTTGTTTTCCATTCTTTGGCAGAGAGTATTTGGTTGTAGGCCAAAGTATGTTTCATGTTTATTTATGGCTGAATTGGGGAATGGTGAAATTCTTGTCTCAAAGGCCCTCTCCTGATAAAACTTGATATATTTCTTGTCCTGGCAAAATATTAGACTTGGAAACTTATAGATGTAAAAGAGCATATTTGATGGGATCGTAGAAATATCAATGAATCTTATTTTCAACTAGTTTCTTTGAATGTTTTCCAAAATATATTTGATTTAAGCTATTTGAGCTCAACCTTTAAGCTATTTGAGCTATTTAAGCTCAACCTTTGATCAAATAATTTTTGTGAAATGATAACTGTTTGGAGTTAGGAAGTTCACTCTGATGCATCCAATATAATGGTCGTCACTAGCGTTCTAAGGTGCTGGCCAACCATTTTAGTAGCAAAGAAGCTTCATTGATGTCTTTTTTCTGTTACACAAAACTTATACCGTTTTCTCTTAGATTTCTTGTATCTCCTTTGGAAGTCATCGAGAGTGAATGTTCATTAACACCATGGTGCTACAATACTTTGTTTTTAAATTATGTTGATGCCATGCCATATTTAAGCTCTTCCAGATCCATATTTATGCATTATTTTTTTCTGAATAATTTCTTTGCTTGCACTTAGGTTTGCAATACAGGGTTTTGCAACACAGCATTTTTAGTACCTATAGAAAAGAAAATAATTTGATTCTTTTCATATATATATACACACACACAGGCACACACATATTTATATACACAAAGCAACTCCCCTTTTTTTCTCCTTGAGGAACTTTATAAAGATTTGAAAAAGAAAAACTAAAATCTGGTTATTTTCTCATCTTCATCTTTCAGTTAAAGGAGTTGACTTTTGCACTTGGCTTATAGCAAGTTCTTTTTGAAATTTAATATTTTGCCAAAGTTGTTATTTGCTCTTTCATTTTTCAAATTTATTTGAAGATATCAATACCCTTTGAAACTATTTTGCAGGAACGACCTTGAATACATTTCGTGCTTAAGTGGTGGTTTTTAATTTTTATTAGCCTCGATAAACTATGTGTGCCACAACTTTATTGTGGTTTTACATACATTTAGCATGCAAGAAACATCGTTGCCGGTTTTAATGATGAGCGTTTCATTTTGAAGTGTATCTGCCATTAGTTTCCATGATAAGCTTATAGCATGGCAGCTTGAATGATGTGGTTCTCGGGTCTAAGTTACTGATCGATATGCTTATTGTGACAGGATTTGCAACTCCTCTATAGCATCTGCCATGTTCGTTTGTTGTCAATGTTGCTTGGACCTTCATCTGCGGGGTTCTCAGCTTGTTTAAAATCAAACATAATATTAAACCCTGGAAAGGAAAGTTGTTTGCTGTCTCTTGCCACCGTGTTGTGTAATAAGATTCTTTATCACCTGATGCTTATTGCATGCCCTAAGAGATTGTTATTTTGATAGATTTATTGAAATATCTGGGTTATTTTGATAGTTTTCCATTTTATTTAAAGATATTTTCAGTTGCATTACTTAGCAGATGTAAACAACGATTCACAATAGGCTGATGTATACGTAGCCATTTCTTAACCCTAGTCACACATACTCCATTTTCATGATTTGGCCATTTACGTCGTATTTCTATCAACATATTTGAGCCAATTTTCCCACGCATGCTGCTCTCAGAATAACTCATCTTTATATGCTTCTAAATTCAGCATCAATTTTATCTCGATTATATATGTCAACATCTCATAATCTGGATTTATTGCATTAAGTTTGATCACTCTTGAATTGAAATTAGTTAGAATTCTTTTTCTTTCAACTGCGTGTTATCAATATCAGTCTTTTAAAATCTATCTCAGTTCCTTGAGCTTCACATGAACATTTGATTTTCGAAATCTTCTGATTCGATCGTCACAGGAAGCTTTTAAGATCCAATTTATTCTTGAGACGATTGACCACAAACATGTCAACTTAATATTTTTTATTACGTCTGATTAACCCGAAGTACGGAGCTTGCTGATATTTCATTGTGGTTCTCCAAATCCAACATATCTAGGTTTGAAGAAACATTTGAATTTTTCCCATTGTTCGCTTGCTTCCTTTTTCATGTATTATCTCAACGATTTATCTTTGCATTAGAGCCTAAGTTCATCCCTCTTACGTTGGCGAGGTAGCCCACACATCGATTAAGTCCAACCCTCATGTACAGCCAATCTCTTTGCAATCTTCACAGATTGAGATCATCTCATTAACAGTCAATTTGCGTAGCAAAATCAAAAGAAAATAAATCATACCGGAAAACAATATACTGTTGAGAGTGGGATTTGAACCCACGCCCTTTCGGACCAGAACCTTAATCTGGCGCCTTAGACCAACTCGGCCATCTCAACAGGTTGCAAATTCTCCATTTGTTTTGTTAATATTTAATTAAAATTACCTAAGCTGTCCGTCCCATACAATCAAGTTTAATTTAAAGTTTCTATTTTATCATCTTTGGGCCAATCCAAATAAGTGAACATTTGAAGAATGACTTTAAAATTCGAATTGTTAAATTATTTTATTTGAAATTATATATAATTTGATTAAAATTTATTTTATAATAATTAAATATAATTTTAAGGTAATTAAACTTTTACTTTTAATTAAGTAAAAATGAATAAATTGCACAATAAATAAATAAATATTTTTAAGTTATAAAAAGGTAAGTGCATTTTACACTTAGTGTCATTTTATTTATTTTTATTTTGAATAGTTTGTGGTGATTATAAGATCATAACACAAATACACTTTATAGATACAACTGATCGAACTCAAGACTTCAAAAAAAAACAACACTCTCTTTAATTACTTAGACCATTTAATGAATTCCCTTTTACTTAATTTTAATGTTTGAAAATATTATTTCACATTCAATAACATAAAGTTTTGCTGAGTCTACTTAATATTTAAATTTGGTACACCATCAAAACAATTAACAGAACTGTTGATGTAATATTTTTTTAATAATGAAATGACATTACCTTCTGGTGGCATGTTAACATCATCGTTAAGTTTTTTACGGTGGGTTGTTAGAATGAAGCTTAAACTAAACGTTAAGTATGATTTTGAGGGAAAAAAATTAGCTACCAAAACGAAACAAAATAATAATTTAAGTATTAAACATGTAGTTTACCCTTAAATCTATATTATTTATGAAGATGTAAATTGTAGATTTTGCTATACAAATTTTAATTAAGGTTATAAAATGGAAGACTATTTTTATAGGATTTGAATTTTGATCATTCAAGTTTTAATAAATTTTAAATGATATATGTGTAAATACTTGATATATAATTTAACTTTTATAAATTATTTTTTTAAATTCATAAATTATTTAAATAATTATATTTAATTTAGATAATAATATTTAATTAATTTAAAATTTTGAAATAATTAAAAACACAAATGTTCGACTCACTACAAATCTCATGACAAATCATATTAGAATCCAAAAATAGGAATTAAGGCTCATTTACGTATTAGTCAAGAGTTAATGAAATGACGTCGTTTAGAAAGTTACCTTCCGTATCCCCGACCCTTGTATAATTAAAAATCATTATGACGATGACGCCCCACCTTGTGACCGTTGTTTCAACGTTTCAAAAATTCCAAATTTTAAAAAAAACCTTTGCTTCCTAAAAAAACTCAACTTACCGTTGCTAACGTCTTGTCCTACCGAAAACCTATCTCCCTATCTTGCACTCATCATCACTTCTTTTATGCCTTGAGATTTGAAAATATATTCTCCATTTTTTCATATCAAAGGTTACGAAACTATGGCTACATTGGCTCCTGGGATTCTGCTGAAATTACTCAATGGGATGAACACCGGGGTTAAGCCAACGAGTGAACACAGGAGCTCGCTTTTGCAAGTCACTGATATCGTGCCGGCTGATCTTGATGAGAAGAATCTTTGGCCTACACATGGGTTTTACATCAAAGTCTCGGATTCTTCACATTCGATTTACGTTAGTCTTCCTTCGGACCAACACGATTTTGTTCTTAGCAACAAGATGCAACTTGGGCAGTTCATTTATGTTGATAGGTTGGAGCCTGGCTCCCCTGTTCCTGTTGTTAAAGGTGCAAAGCCCCTCCCTGGGAGGCATCCCTTACTTGGGACACCGGAGCCTTTAATGGGTTTAAGAAAGAAAGGGGAGAAAAGTGAGCACAAACAAGATACTAGGTTACATAGAAGAGGCTCTTGGGGGAAAGGTCCTAATGGAACTGATGAGATTTCTTCTCCTTTGGTTTTAAAGCCGGTGCCGTTGGATTTTGATCAGTGTACACCGGTGAAAGAGCGGAGAACTTCGTTGATGTCACCGATGATACGAAGGGTGGCGAAAGATGGGAACGCTACCGCTGGTGTAAGGTGCTCTTATGGTGGGGGATTGTTGGCTAAAATGATGGATACTAAAGGAGAAAGTCCAGCTTTGCTTAGAAAAAGCTGTGCTGCACCTTCTTCGACCTCGAAGTTTCCGAGGAGCAAAAGTGTCAGCGACCGAGAGCCTCGGATCCCAATTTGTTCTCTCAACTCAGCTGTAGGTACAATCTGCCATGTTTTACTTTATATTAACTTTTCAATGGTGTTTTTGTCTTGATGATTCAAGTCAATTTTCAGCCATTGCAAGAAAAGAAAAGTTCAACCCCACCACCAATTTCAAAGCGTGGAAGGGTGGCCGCGGCTTCGGTAATTAATTCAAGTTTTACTACCCAAAAACAAGAATCTCAACTTGATAATGATTCCACCATGGATAACGGAAAAAGTCTAGCCATGAATTTACCTGGGAAACTTGGCATGTTGGGCAAGGTGAGTTTAAGTTTTAAGTTAACCATTGTAGATTTCGTCTTGGGTTTACTGTTAACTGACTTTTTGTGGTTCAACAGGAAGCTGTTCAGCAACGAGAAACGGCTCAAAAGATTGCTCTTCAAGCACTGAGAGATGTCACTGCCACAGATAGTTTAGTTCGCTCTCTGAAGTAATAAAAAATGTCCTTTTTGTGCTTTCCCTTTAAGTTCTTATGTTTTGCTAAATGCCATATCCTTTTGTCTGGTTGTGTGCTTAGGATGTTTTCCAATTTAAGCAAATCAGCAAAACCAGAAGCTCCGGCCGCATGCTTCGACCAGTTTCTGGAATTCCACGCCCAAATTGTGCAGGCCCTGAGTGAGATAGTGTCGGTCCAAGCAGCTACTTCGGCTACTACTGGAATGTCACAAGCCACAAAAACTGAAAAAAGGGGTGAAGATGAACAGGCAATCTTGAATGAAATCGTGCACAATTCGATGGACCAAAGCAAAAGGCGAGCTGCATTGTACAAGTCAATCGCAGGGTTTCCCGAGAGAAGTGAGCAAAAGAGGCTCCTAAGGTCAAATTCCAAAGTTCCATCAACCCCACTCGGTAAACTGCCCATCGAATCATCAGCCGCAGAGAACGACGAAAACAAACCGGTATCATGCAGTTTAAACAATACGATAAAATTGGGGAAGCAAATCGAAGCGGAAGCAGGGAATTGGTTCATGAACTTCCTGGAGAAAGCTTTGGAGAATGGTATGAAGAAGTCCCAAGGCGATGGGGAGTCCAAGAAAGTGCCTCAGTCTCTGATACTCAAGGTTATTAATTGGGCAGAGGTAGAACAGTGTGATGCCAACAAGCGACCGGTTCATCCAAAAGCAACACAGATTGTTAGGAAGCTAAGAATTAAGATGAAGAATCCTTGAATTTGGTCTACAATCTATGTTAGCAGAATTTACACTTTGAAAAGTAAATCTATTTTTGTTTGGTTTTCAATGTGATTGACCTTTTGAATTTCTATAATCATATTTTAGCAAAACTGGGAAACAAATTTATGAATTTGCATTTGGAGGGAACCCTTTTCACCTCTAATTTTTCAAATAACAATTTCTGTTGCCAATTTAATGCTGGGAAGCGTCTTTACATGGGCACATGATACTGATGAATGGGGAAACAGATTTGAGTTGCCGTTTCATTTCTTTAACGGGTAATCAATTCATGGCTTACTGTATATTAATTATAAATTAGTCAATTTGTATGTATTCCCCCCCCCCTAAAGGACTACATAAAAAATTATTTTTCAATTTAACTACTAAACAGAGGCTGGAATGTGTCATTGCATCATACTTCCTTGGAAGCAAATCAAGTAGCCGATGAAATGGCTAAGATTGCAAAGTTGGGTGTCGTGGAATATAAAATATTCAATAGACCTCCAGTAGAAGTCCTTTCGACCCTCCATGAGGATTGTAATTGGTCAAATTACCTTTGATTTTCTAGCTTGCTAAAGCTCTCTTTTCACCAAAAAAAAATTACTATTTTTCAATTGAACAGAAGAATAAATATCAATTTCATATAATCTATTTTATCCGATAATTGATTAAAATCGATTTTACAAATATAAAATTAATTCTCTACACAAATGGTCCCTTGACTTAGGACACTGTTTTGTTAAGTTCTCTTACTATTAGTTACAAAATAGTCATTCGATTATTCATATGTTCTAAACTTGTCTTTTTTTGTTAAAAATTGGCGGTCGTCTGAGATGGATGTTAGCCTGTCGACTAGGATATGATAAAATTTGATCCCATAATTATTTTAGTTATATTTTGTGGATCGAATCTCCGTTTACATTATATCGTTGAGTTAGTACTTGAAACATTATGTTGGCGAGACAGTACTTGAAAACAACGATTGGTGTCAGTAGACATCAATTAAAATATGATTATATCATATCTCATTCAACATGTTAACGTCTAACTCAAACGGACGTCAAATTTTTAACGAAAAAGGACTATTTTGGAACATATGAATAGTCGAGTGACTATTTTATAACTTTTAATAGTTTGGAGACTCAACAACACAATATTTTATAGTTGAGTAATCATTTTGTAACTTTTAGTAGTTATATGACTCAATAAAATAACACCTTACAGTTGAGGACCAGTTGTATATATACTTTACTTGATAATATAGTTTAAAAGAAAAATATTATTTTCAATCATATTAGATAAAGCCATGTTAAATCCATTTGTGAGGTAACATGTTAATGAAAGATTGTAAAGAACTTCAAAGAGAAGGTTTCGCGAATGAGTTTACACACATTTGGCGTGAAGATACTAAATGTGCGAATAGTCTGGCTATTGATGATCAAGTAAACGAACCATATAACTATCTTGTAGGATTCTCCAATTGAGTTAATCCCTATAATATGGGCTGATGTCAAAAGAGATGTCGCGTTGAGGATGTAGAAAATTAGATCTTTTACTTGAAAAAAAAATCATTTGTCTTGTGTGATAAGACGTTCGTTCTATAACTCTCCATTTAGTGTATTAATAGAATAGATTAATTCACTGACGCGTTCGAGTTAAACGATGATAGATGAAGACTTGCAAAAAATAATAATGTCAGTAAATAAGAAGTTAGCAACTAAGATTGTTATGGTAGATGAGCAGTTCCAGTCAATATCAACACATGCAACATAAATCAAGTCTGATTGTACTAGTGTATAAAACTGTTGCTTTAGACTCGATGAAGCTAAACCATACCATCAACGAGACCGATGATAATAACTGTGTAGACTGTGGGGTTTTGGTGATGTTGATGAGGACGAGTTGAAAAAATAAATTAATTACTTAAATGGAGTAAGATTACGAAATATTTGAGTTCATTAAAATAAAAAATAATAATTAGATAGATATACATTTCAATAATTACAATAATATAAAAAATTAAATAATTAAAGATGTTAAATTTTTTTTCAATGGGAGGTGCGAACAACAATTCATGTCTTCCCTTATCAGCTCATCAGAATGGAGAGTTCTAATACGTCTTGTTATATAGGATAAAGCACATATATCTTTATTAAGATAGATTAATTGGACGTGCTTTTGCTCTACATAATCGATAAAAAAATTTATTTTTAAAATAATATTATTTGAGTGCTATTTTCATAATTAAATTAAAAATGAATATTATACCTATAAATTACCCCAATAAAACATATTGTTTTTTTTGGATAAATTCCTCATATTATTATCCAAGAAGCAGTAGAAAAAACTCACTGCTACAACCAATACAGACAACAAAATCAAAACAGCCTCCTAGGGAGTGTTAATCTCCCAAGCTAGACAAAGGTTTCGGTTAACAACATTACTCTTAATGGCTATTCTAGTTGCCTTCACCCTAATTACATCCTTAATACAATTTACCACATTATTAGTCTCCCTGCGTATGCTTCTAAACTGCCTATGATTCCTCTCTTCCCATATACAGTATACATATGCACACCAAGCTAATCTAAGAATAATCAAATGAAAAGTTTTACCTTTGAACCGAGATATCACCCAATTCAATTCCTCATCCCAATTTCCCACAGTTCTATCAATGTTACACGGCCGAACAATCACTCCCCATACAGCCTTAGAAAACTGGCATTCAAAAAAGATGTGGCTACGAGTCTCAGGCACAACTCCACACAGTCTACAATTATCATCCACCTCAATCTTCATACGAACCAGCCTATCAAGGATAACCATCCAAGCGATGAGAGAGTTCTTAGGTATATGCATAGGGAACCAAAAAATCTTATGCCATTCAACCTTATCTTTTCTCCCCCTGATCTCCTGCCACAGCCAACGAGCGTTGATCTTGTCCCAATCCATGGTCCTTGAGAACAGAGAATGCACTTCCTCTCTAGTTTTCAGAATTTTCCTCATACTCCAGCTGAATGAGGCTTTGCTTTCCATAGACCAAAGATCAGCCCCTTTAAGAACATATGACCTCAACCAAGCAACCCAAATTGAGCCCTCAGCAGTAAGTAACTCCTTAACCAGTAGCATTACACAAGCTTTATTCCAACATTTTAAATGCTTTAGGCCCAGCCCCCCCCCTCAGATTTAGGGGTACAAATAACCTCCTAACTGACTCGAGCTCCCTTAATTGGAATGTCTCCACCCTTCCAAAAGAACCTAGTACAAAGTTGGTCCACCCTTTTAACCACAACAGCAGGCAGAATAAGCTGCCAACACCATAAAATTGACAATACTAAACAAGACAAATTTCACCAGTTGCAACCTGCATGCATGACTCAACCATCTATTTGACCAAAGTCCTAACTTAGCTTTGATTTTCTCCACAAGACTAACACAATCTCTCTAAGTTAATTTCCTAGGGACAAGAGGCACCCCTAAGTATTTCACAGGGAGGCAGCTAATTTTAAACCCAATAACCTTATGCACCAAAGTCTTCTGATTTCCATTGACACCAGCAATAAAGATTTCAGTCTTAGAGGCATTAAACCTCAATCCAGATATCTCATAGAATCTCTCCAAAACACATTTCACCCCTAATATTGAATCCAAACTTCCTTTGCAAAAAATGAGCAAATCATCTGCAAAGCATAAGTGGTGATTTTTTTTTCCAGAGGCAGCAATATCAAGAAGCTTGGAAAGGATGTTCATAGCAATCATAAATAGGTAAGGGGATAGGGGGTCCCCCTGTCTAACTCCTCTACTACCTCTGAAATACCCCACTAGGCTGACATTTAACATAATGGAGAACCTAGAGTCCATAACACATGCCACTATCCAACTTCTAAATTGTTCTGGCAACCCTAATCCCTTCAAAACAACAAGCAGAAATTTCCACCTTAAGGAGTCAAAAGCCTTCTGCAAATCAGCTTTTATAGCACATCTAGGGGAGATAGAACTCCTATCATACCCTCTAACAAGCTCCTGTGCCAATAGAGTATTGCATTCAATGTTTATACCCTTCACAAATGCTGACTGGTTAGGGGCTATCATCTTAGGGAGGAATTTAATCAATTTACTCACCAAGATCTTAGTAACAATCTTATAAAAGACTGAGCAACAAGATATAGGTTTGAAATCCATAGCTTTACAAGAGTTGGGCTGCTTAGGAACTAATGCAATGGTAGTAGAGTTAAAGGCTGACATCATTCTAGAGGATTCAAAAAAATACCTCACAGTAGCTATAAAATCTGCTCCAACAATGTCCCAGGCAAATTGAAAAAAACCAGCAGTGTATCCATCAGGGCCAGGAGCCTTATCCTTGCCCTGATTCCAAATGGACACTCTGATTTCATCATTAGAAACAACTTTCACTAAGTCAGCATTAGCACCTTCAGGGAGTGTATAACCCAGCAGGTCCCTTAGGAATTTGTCAGAATACCCCAGCACATTTTCATCAACATATCCAATCTGCCTTGTGAAGTAATTCACCAATTCTTCAGCCATAAAATCAAAAGTTTCTAGTTTATTACCCCTCTCATCAACCAGTACTCTTATTGTGTTTCTCTTCCTTTTGGCTGCAACTTGAGAATGGAAGAACTTAGTGCATTGATCTCCATCTTGCAGCCAATCAACCTTAGCTTTCTGCTGATAGAACAACATTTCAGCCTTCTCTAATTCAACAAGCTCTTGATATAATTTTTTCTCTTCTGCCACATCACCTGGGTTCCCTCCAGTTAAAATCACAACCTGTTGTTTCTCCAATTGTTCTATCTTTTTAGCAATTTTCTCAGAGATATTTGAGTAGCATCTTTTATTAAGAGATTTCAACACAGGCTTCAGCCTCTTCATTTTGTAGAACAAAGCTTGCATAGGGTCCCCCTTGCACATCATCAGTGCAAGACTACCCAACAACCTCCTTGAAGTCTGGATGTAATGCCCAGAAATTAAAGTATTTAAATGGTTTTGGCCTTGAAGCAAGGTTCTCATGGAGGTACCAAGCAACTTCCATGCAATGGTCAAATACTCCAGCATGAGAATTCGGGAATGCCTCACACCATTTATCATTAACTAGCACTCTATCTAACTTACCAGCTAGGAAGCCCTCTTCATGTTTATTAGACCAAGTGAAAACAGGTCCAAAAAAAATGGTGATCCACTAACCCCAGATTTGCCATACAATTCCTTAAGTCCTCCATTTCTGATGTGAGGTGCCCATATTCATAATTTGAGCTCTCCACATCTTCAACAATTACATTAAAATCCCCCCAACAATCCAAGCATTGCTTCTAACCAACGAGCTAACTTCAGCAAGTTATTTTCATAACTCCTTCCTATAAGCACCACTGTTAATGCCATACACAGCAGAAACAAGCACATTTCTACCACACAAGCAGCCCTGAATGGTAACAGATTGATCAGCCACTTTCAGTACTGAGAAATGCAAATTCTTCTTCCACAGAATCCAGATCCTACCATTCTCCAAGCATCTATAATTCAGCAATAGTTCCAATCCTTAGAAAACTGTGCAACAATATCCTGAGCCATATTTTCTTTAATTCTAGTTTCAAGCAAACAAAGAATCTCAGCCTGCATCTCTCAACACGAATCATAACACTTTTTTTTTGGGTAATTAAAACCCCTAATATTCCAAAAAAACCACAGTCATGAGGTAGGAATAGGAATGGTACCTCCCACTGGCTCACCAAGTCTCTTTGTCTTATCAAGATGATCTTTCTTCTTGCCTTTCATTTCCAGCAGTATGTTTTCAACACCATGAGATGCAAGACTAGGCTTCCTTCCCACTCCCTCAGCCTCCTCCAACAAAGATCCCAAAACTTCAAACTTATTGAAGGAGCTAGCAACAAAACCTTTCACATTTTCACCCTTTTTCCCCTTACCTCTTCGATGAGATACATGGTCTAGAGATAAAGAAACATCACCTTTAGGTGCCACTCTCACCACACTGCTAGTAGCCTTGTCTTTTTCAATAATCTTCAACTTTTGCCCGGCAGCTGACTGTTCCTTATAAGACATCTCTCCAGCCTCCACATTGTCCACTAGAGCTGATCCAGGCACATCTTTATCAGTAGCAGAACTCTGCCCAACATTCTCATTCTCCATAATGGCCTTTAATTTAGCTTCACCCAATGGCTTTTCCAGACTGGCTTCCACTAAATTTCATATCTCAGTCTCAGATGTTTCAGGGGCCTTGTCCTTGACTCTCCACTCCCTTTTCCCTTCTACTCCACCAACAGTGCAAATTTTATCTGAGTGGCTAAAGATCTTACATTTAGAGCAGCATGAAGGAAACCAAGGAATGGCCACCTTCACAATGCATATTGTCCCATCTTGCAGCTTGATTGCAATCGAACGAGGCAACCGAGCACTAGCCTTAACTTCAACACATACCTTTGCAAATTCTAGCCGTTCCTTAGAAGCTGTGATCGAATCCATATACAATGGGACACCTAGGGCACTAGCAACATAACTAAAACCTTTTTTAGAGAACAACTCAAGAGGAACATTAAACAACTGAACCCACATTGGCATCCTTTCCAGATTGAAATCAAGGCGCTTCATATTAGGTTTCCACTTCCTCAGCACCAACGGTTTATGTTGGATATATCAGGGACCGTTCCCAAGAACCAAGTCTCGGCTAGCACCATTAGCGAATGAGAAAATGTAAAGATTAGAACCAGCAATACTAACCTTAACAATCGATTTCCCCCACATAATTTCTACCAGCTTCTGCAAGGAACCAAAATTGGGCGACGACCCAATAAATTGCCCTACCAGAGAGAACTGTCACTCCGAGATCCCCTCCTCAAAAACAACACTCGGAGGAACCACCGTCGTGAAACCCTCATTACACTCCAGAGGGAAAAAGTCCAGTGATTGCTCCTCAACACCAGAGAACAAGCTCCTCCAATCCATAACCTAAAACAGTTACCTAGATTCCATTTCGAATGAATCAAGCAAATCAAATCAACAAGAACCAGGGGAAGAACAATAGACTTGCTATCGTGAGAGAAAACATTTATTCCCTAGAACTACTTTATTTGGTATTCTTATATTTTTGGCTATTCGATTATTGTTTATTTTTTCAAACCTCTCTTTTCTGGCCTTAATGGCTTCATTGGATTCAAACACCTTAATGGCTTCATTGGATTCAAACACCTTAATGGCTTCATTGAATTCAAACAAAATAACAACGAAAAAAAAAATACCGTCATGGGCAAAACGTGCTTCATCTCCAACTTTGTTTATATAAAAATCCCTCATCCATGTTCGCAAGATATTTTATATATAGTTCACTAAGTTAATAATACAAGAGTGAACTTTATGACTTTATCATGAGAAATTTATACAGTGGAAATAAATCATTAGCATAACCTTTTTAATTTGTAATTAAATATGATTTTTTTTATTTTAAATAAAATATCAAATCATATTTGTATAAAAGTATCAAGATTAATTTAAATGAAATGAAGAAGTTTAAATCGTTTTTAATATTTAAACTTATTACAACCGATATAATTCTAAAAACAGCTTATTACAATCGTTTTTTAGTTTCCCGTAATAAGTAACTGCTTCCTTTAGTCAATAGTAATTATAATTATTACACCATTAAATAGTTAAGTTATGTTCTTGATAACGGGTTTGTGTTATAATTATATTTTAAATACTACATATTTGTATAAATTTATATTTTATTTTTCATATAACACTCATTTTATTTTTTTCCGTTATCAAATTGTAATTATTTTTTTGACATAATCGTTGCCGGCTAATCCAGGCCGTCCATCGAATAAAGGCTGTCAATTAAAAAAATAATAAATTTCTCATTAAAATGATTGGACAGTGAGTCCACGCGCCTACCCCAAGAACGCGTTAACGAACAAATCGCTCTTTTAGCGGCATCAATTTTCACTTCGCCTCCACTCCTACTTTCTTGCGCTTATAATAACCGCTTTCTTTCACCCTCTCGCTTCTCATCTCATAATATTCCAATTAAGAAGCCGGTAGTCATCTCTCTCTCTCTCTCTCTGTGTTTGAAAACTAAGCACAGCTCAAATAAAACGAATTTGAAACTCGGAGATTTTGAATTTTTTTCTGCTTTTTTTGAAAGCCTTTTTACTGCTTTATGAACTCTGTTTTTTCTCTGTTTGGAAATTTGCGTTTCCTTAAGAGGTTCCGGCAGTGAAAAAGAATGGGAACGAGTTGGAACGAAGAGGTAACGATCTGCTACTCATTGTGCTGTCAGGATCGACGATCCTCCAAGCACATCCGTGACAACGTTCACGGCAACATCTACCTTTATAAGGTGTTAGCTTCACTTCCATTTCCGAACTTGCATCTGTGTTTCGATAATATAAACCGGTTTTTTATTTAGTTTATATAATAGAATGTTTTTCTATATAGAACGAAATTTTAATCAGTGAAGTATAAAGAAAAGCTTAGGAATCTACAAATCTCATCGTAGAGACAGTTCAGAAGAATATTAGAAACACTAGTATAATTTAGCGAAAAAGAAACGAGAATTGAAGAACTGGCGGATATGTTGCATAGATTTAGAAGTTTCTACTCTTTTTTAAGCGGAAAAGAATTGTGAAGGAATAACGAATATCTTGAATTGATTAAGATGTTTCTACTTTAGAATAGGGACAGAGCACAAAATTAATATAATGTGGATAATTAAAGTTTTGCTTAAGATATAGTATTTGACCTGTTGATTTGCTGTTAATGCAGTTCTTCTTAAAATTTGTTGACACGGAGCAGTTTCAAAGGCAAGCTTGATTTGATTTGTTGAAATCATGCACCGTTTTTTTTTTTTTTTTTTTTACGTATATAATTAGAAATTACTAGTTTTGATGATTTTATTGTATACAGCAGACTTCGCGATCTAAAGCAACTTGGTAAGCTGAACTTCCTTACATCAGGTTTTTATGAGCTTGATCCGTTTGCTGATCTATGCTGCTAGCTTTTCAGGTCTTTCGCACATGGTGTACCCGGGAGCTGTTCATTCTCGCTTTGAGCATTCACTGGGAGTTTATTGGCTGGCTGATGAAGCTGTCCATACAATTAAAGCTCACCAAGTAGGAAAATGACTTCACATTCTGTTGGTTTTCATTCTGACCCCCATTATATTGAGACATTCTCTTTATTCGCATGGCATACTTGTAGGGCTCGGAGATCAGCATTAAGCGATGATATCAACACAGTAAAACTTGCTTGTAATCATTCTTGTTGCCGATTTTTCCTTTCTTTTGAGCCATCTCTTATCCTCGTTTTCTGTATCTAACCTTTTTCCCCCTGTTGCTGGTTACTTGTTTAGGACTTTTGCATGATGTTGGACATGGACCGTTCAGCCATCTGTTTGAGCGCGAGTTTCTTCCTCAGATGCTTAATGGATATGAATGGTGATTCTTACATTCATCTCTGGATATAGATTGTTAGTGTTGTCTGAGATGCAAGCACTGGGTGCATATAATGCATTAGCTCATTATCCTAAGAATCAAAACACGATTTGTTTCTAGGCACTGTCTAGTATTTTTCACTGTTAAAATTATTTCTGCCGCGAGTTTTATGCTCTCTTTTTTTCCATTATGTTAAACAATAAAAATTTTCAATTTATGCTACCTTCTATGCTTGTTTCATATAGATGACAATGTTCCAAAGTTGACATCGTATATTACGCATCTAAATCTAATACAAGACGGAAGTTACTGCGGTTTATATTGATCTCTGAATGCTTGTTTAAATATCTTAGGTCTCATGAGGACATGTCAGTGAAGAAGATTGATTACATTGTTGATGAGCACAACATTGAAATAGATGCTGCAATGCTTAAGAATGTGAAGGTCGAATTATGTTCTGTGAAGTTCCTTTTGCACTATATACATGGAAATTAGCTATTTGAAATGAGGGGATTGATATAACTTCGCCATTTCAACAGGACATGGTACTTGCTAGCTCTGCAAATGCTTCACAAAATGTAAGCGAGTAATTACAACAATTTACCTAAATCTTGTATGTTCCATCACATTATTGCCTGTTTTTGATTTCTTCATCAATTTCTCTGCCATCACAATTTTAAATTTCCTTTGATGTAGACTGTGAACGAAAAGTGTTTTCTGTACGACATTGTTGCAAATGGTAGGAATGGAATAGATGTTGATAAGTATATTGATTTTCCATACCGAGAATGAATTTTAAAACTGACTACACTTTTGGTTTCGAAAGGAGAGTCGATGATTACATTTCCTTGCAGATTTGACTACATTGTACGTGACTCTCGCGCTTGTGGCCTTGGCTGCAATTTTCAGTTTCAGAGGTAGGGATAGGTTTAATAATGATCATCAATTATTGGTTAATACATAATGTGATGGGCTGTTAAGTTTCAAGCTAATTTAACAATTCTGCATCTGTAAAGTTGCAGTTATTGAGCATATTTTGTAGTGGTACACATTCTTCATGTTCATTTTAACTTGCAGGTTAATGGAAACAATGAGAGTGATGGATGACGAGATATGCTACCGGGCGAAGGATTGTTAGTATTTGTCCAAATTTATTATCTTCATCTAACAATTACATCTTCAGCTAACATCTGCTATGTTTCTGACAGATCTGACTGTCCACAAGTTATTTGCTACTCGAGCTGATTTACATAGAACAGTTTACACACATGCTAAAGTAAAGGGACGCTGCAACTAACTCTGTTTTGTCCATAACTTCAAAATGTTAATTCTGTCGTATTTGGAGCCTATTTTTAAGAAGAATTTTTAATCAGTAAATGTAATGGCATTGATGCTTTTCCACTTTTTCATATTTCTCCAGGCAATAGAATGTTGGGAAATAAACAGAGTACGAGTAATTTCCCTATAGCCAGATTAGTGAAAATGCGAAATAAAAGCGGAAAAATAATACCCGAAATTGATAACGGAGTTCAGCCAATTTTGCTTACATCTCCGGACTGCTGCAGATCTTTTACTAAAAAAAAAATTTACAGGTGTTTACAAAACACTCACTACTAGCAAGAAAGCTCTCTAGTATTTGGAGAAAGAAATGATTTGGGATTTGGGATGATTTTGAAGCTAAATGAGATAGTGTATCTATAGTTGAAACTTAGGGACTAATCTTTGAAAATACCCTAAAGTGCAATGACTAAAGTAAATTTACCCATTCCTATTTTCAACAAACATCTACTAAACTTTACCAAACTTTGAAAAACATTTTTCAAATAAACATTTACCAAACTTTGAAAAATATTTTTCAAAGTTGGTTGCCAAACTTTAAACTAACTTTTAACAATCTCTCACTTGAAGACTGATTTTAATCTGTCTTCATACCTCGATCAATGCAGCAGTATTTCTGGTCTTGTTACTCTAGCATGCAAACTGAAGCTGAACACAACTTTAGTTTGTCCGTAGTCACCGTCTTTGTCAACATGTCTACCAGATTTTGAGCTCCACTAATCTTTTCAAGTTTCAAAATCCAATCTTCCAGAAGTGATCGTATAAAATGATATCTCAATTGTATGTGCTTCGTCCTGGAATGAAAAGACGGATTCTTTGCTAGATGGATAGCACTTTGACTATCGTAATACAAGACATTATTTTCTTGTTTCTTGCCTAACTCTTCCAAGAAACTTTGGAGCCAAACCATCTCCTTGCTAGCTTCCGTAACAGCGACATATTCTGCTTCAGTTGTGGAGAGAGCAACTATCTTCTGTAGTTGAGAAACCCAACTTACTGCAGTTCCTCCTAGAGTATAGACATACCCTGTAGTGCTCCTTCTGATGTCAATATTTCCGGCTAAGTCAGCATCTACATAGCCTGTCAGTATCGTATCTCCACCTTTGAAACAAAGTGCTTTGTTTGTAGTACCCCGCAGATATCTGAGGATCTATTTGACTGCTTCCCAGTGTACCTTGCCCGGATTATTCATGTACCTGCTAACAGCTCCCACTGCTTGAGCAATATCTGGTCTGGTACAAACCATGGCATACATTAGACTTCCAATTGCTGAGGCATACGACACCTTCACCATGTGTGCATGTTCTTCCTCCATCTTTGGTGACTGTTCTTTGGAGAGTCTAAAATGAACACCTAAAGGTGTACTTACTGGTTTAGCATATTGCATGTTGAACCTGGAGAGTACTTTTTTGATGTACTCAGCCTGTGATAACATCAAAGTCCCCGACTTTGTGTCTCTCTTGATCCTCATCCCAAGAATCTGCTTTGCAGCGCCCAGATCCTTCATAGCAAACTGCTTCGACAATTTTTGCTTCAAGTGTATAATCTCTTGCATGTTTGAGCCTGCAACGAGCATGTCATCAACGTACAACAATAAAATAATGAAGCTATTGTCGAACCTCTTAATGTAGCAATAATGATCTGCTTGGCATCTGGTAAAACCACTGCTACCCATGAAGCTATTGAACTTCTTGTATCACTGTCTAGGAGCTTGTTTTAAACCATACAAGCTCTTCTTCAACCTGCATACCAGGTTTTTCTTGCCCGCCTCTATGAAGCATTCTGGCTGCCTCATATAGATTTCTTCCTCCAAATCACCATGAAAGAAAGCTGTCTTTACATCTAACTGCTCAAGATGTAAATTCTCTACAGCTACAATTTTCAATATCAGTCTGATTGTAGACAGCTTCACGACTAGAGAGAAAATTTCATTGTAGTTAATACCTTCTTTTTGTTGAAAACCTTTGACAACCAATCTCGCTTTGTAGCGTTTGCTCCCATCGTGCTCTTCCTTGATCCTGTAAATCAACTTATTGTGGAGCGCTTTCTTGCCTGGTGGTAATTCAGCTAATTCCTACGTCTGATTTGACATAAGCGAGTCCATCTCATCTTTCATGGAAGACTCCCACTTGATTGAATCTTCCACTTACATTGCTTCATCATAGCACACTGGTTCACCATTGTCAGTCAGCAATAAGTAGTGCAAAGAAGGAGAATACCGTTGGGTTGGTTTAGGAATTCTGGAGGAGCGTCTCAGTTCTGGTGTGCCTGGTTCTTCTTGAACTGCTTCAGGATTGATCTGAACATCATTTATAGAAATCTCCTCGAACTCAGCAAATTCCTTTGTTTCAGCTTCAGTATTGGAGCTACTTGATTCTACGGTTGACCTGTCTTTGTACATCACATTCTCATTGAAAATGACATCTCTGCTTCTGATGATTTTTCAATTTTCGTAGTCCTAAAATCGATAACTGAACTCATCACCGTCATAACCAACAAAGGCACATTTTTTGGACTTAGCATCAAGTTTGCTTCTTTCAGCAGAGTCTATGTATACATAAGAAATACAACCAAACACTCTTAAGTGTGAAAAGTTTATTTCTTTCTTTCTCCAAACTTCCTCTGGTATTCTACCATCCAAAGGAACTGAGGGCCCACGGTTGATCAGGTAAGTTGCAGTGTTGATAGCTTGAGCCCATAGAAATTTGGGCAATTCGGCATGTATCCTCATGCTTCTGGCACGTTCATTCAGAGTTTTGTTCATGCGCTCTGCTACGCCATTCTGTTGTGGTGTCATGGGAACTGTTGTCTCCATCTTGATCCCATTGTTTGCGCAAAATTCTCTGAATCTATGATTTTTGTACTCTCCTCCATTATCAGACCTCAATTGCTTGACTTTCAGACCAGTCTCATTTTCCACCATGGCCTTCCATTTTCTAAAGGTATCAAAGACTTCTAATTTTTTCTTCAGAAAATAAACCCATACCTTCCTTGTAGAATCATCGATGAAGGTGACATAATATAATGAGCCTACAAGAGATGGAATTGCCCATACATCATTATGAACCAACTCTAACTTTTCAGCCTTGGGTGTCTTACCAATCTTTGCAAAATTGAATTTCTTTTGTTTGCTAAAGATGCAATCCTTGCATAGTCTGACATCTACATTCTTTAGATCCGACAGCTTCCCTTTTGTCAAAAGTGTCTTCATCCCTTCCTCGCTCATATGGCCAAGCCTTTGGTGCCATAGGTTTGATTTTCCATCAGCATATGCTACTGTAATGATATTCTCTAAGTTTGAGGTTACATAGAGAGTACCAGTCTTCTTACCACGAGCAATGACGAGTGCTCTTTTTGTAATCTTCCATTCACAGCCTGAAAAGGTTGTACTATAACCTTCTCCATCAAGCTGTCCTACGAAAATCAAATTTATTTTTAGGCCAGGAATATGTGTCACACCTTTCAGCGTCTAGGTGGTCTGGTTTGGCAGCTTTAGTCGGATGTCTCCTCTTCCGACGATCTTCAAGGTTTCATCATCAGCTAGATGAATCTTCCCAAAATCACCACTGACATAGTTCTCCATGATTTCTCGGTATGGAGTGGAGTGGAAAGATGCCCCTGAATCCAAGATCCATGATTCAATCGGACTGTTGACGCTTAGAATCATGGCATCACATGTCTCCTCTGTCATGTTGGTAGGTTCCTGTACGTCGGTATTTTTCTTCAGTGCTCGGCAATCTCTTTTAAAGTGACCCTTCTTGCCGCAGTTATAACAGGTAAAATCTTTCTTCCCCGTTCTTGATTTTTCCCTTCTGGATTTGGATCTGCCACAATTTGAATTTCTTTCTGAAGTTCTCCCTCTGGACTCCGTGTGCAAGGCTGAGGAGGTTGATGCTTCACCTGATTCTCTCCGTCGAATTTCTTCGCTCAGTACCAGATCCTGAACATCGTCGAATTTTAATTTGTTGTTTCCCGACAAGCTGCTGACTCCTGTAACAGTAGCATTTCAACTGTCTGGTAGAGATGATAAGAGAATTAAAGCTCGAACTTCATCATCGAATTCAATTTCCACGGAACTCAACTGGATTGTGATTGTGTTGAGTTCATTTAAGTGTTGAGCCACTGATGCCCCTTCCGCCATCCGCAAATTGAATAATCGCCTCATCAAGTGAATTTTGTTTGAGGCTGATGGCTTCTCATACATACTGGAGAGAGCCGCCATAAGACCCGCCGTGGTCTTTTCCTTTGCTATGTTGAAAGCAACATTGCAGGACAACGTCAGTCGGATAACTCTGAGGGCTTATCTGTCGAGAAGAGCCCAGTCTTAATTCTTCATGACCTCTGGTTGCTTTCCTAAGAGAGGTTGATATAGATTTTTCTGGTACAAAAAATCTTCAATCCGCATCTTCCAAAAGTCAAAGTTTGCACCATCGAACTTTTCAATTTTCATTTTCCCTTCGTCTGCAGCCATCGCTCCCACTCGAATTTGTCTTCTTTGGATCGTTCTGACAATTTTTGCGAACCACCGTGTATTAGAATATCTCCGTCGACAAATTCTTATCGCCGACAAAAAGTCACTATTCACAAAATTCACTATTCATGTAAATAGTAATGAATAGTAACCTCTCAAAAATTGACAAAATTCACAACCAAAAGCTCTGATTACCAATTGTTGGGAAATAAACAGAGTACGAGTAATTTCTCTATAACCAGATTAGTGAGAATGCGAAATAAAAGCGGAAAAATAATACCCGAAATTGATAACGGAGTTCAGCCAATTTTGCTTACGTCTCCGGACTGCTGCAGATTTTTTACTAAAGAGAAAATTTACAGGTATTTACAAAACACTCACTACTCTCAAGAAAGCTCTCTAGTATTGGGAGAAAAAAATAATTTGAGATTTGGGATGATTTTGAAGCTAAATGAGCTAGGGTATTTATAGTTGAAATTTAGGGACTAATCTTTGAAAATACCCTAAAGTACAATGACTAAAGTGAATTTACCCATTCCTATTTTCAACAAACATTTTTTGTGATACTGAAACTAATTTAATTTAATATTACCGGCGGTGTTCGGATTTCTTGATCGGGATTACGAGACTGATTTCAAATTTCCGATACGAGATGAGCTCATAAGTAACCTGCTGCCTTCATTTTATCAAGATATGATTGTCAGTGTATACTCCAAGAAATCTGAACTGGTATTCTTCTAAAATTCTTAGATTTAATTTCCATGTTATTGATGATATATGAAATATGTATATCTATATGTATGTAGGTAGGAGCAGTTTCTAAGGCCTTTGAAAATTATCAGCTAAAGACATACGGAAGGAAAGCACAAGTTCATGATACTCCTGAGAAGAAGAAAAGCCGGAATAGAAAATAATCACCCACAACTTTCATATATACTAGTACAATATAATACTCATTTTACTAATTCACAATACTCGTATGGCTTGACAGAGTAATTTCCCTAACAAGATTTAAATACTAAGAAACTGGCTATGGCATGCATCTAAAATTCTGTAGCTCTAACCCATTTTCTCCAAGGTTCATCTCTTGTGCATCATATGCTTTGCAGGTAATAAAAATATTAATCGGTTCCTGTGCTGTTACTATGTAAGATATTTTCTGTTTTCTTGTTTTTGTTTTTGTTTTCTTGATCGATAATTGATCATGTAAACTTCTCACGGAAATTGAAGTACTTGGGTTTCGGTGATGGAAATTAATTTATTTGTTTTTTCTTTAAATTATATGAAATAACTAAATCTCCAACATGTGTTCTCGATCTAAAAATTGAATTCATGCAGATGTAGGGAAAATAATAATGAAATGAAATCCACTTCAATCAAAAGATAAAAGTCATTAAATATGAGATAAAAATCACTATACATTATCTATTTAAAATATATATATTTGTATTTTTAAATAAGGATACCTATGGCAGATAACAGTGATTAATCTTCTCATCATAATTTTTTTAAAAAAGTAAAAAAAAAACACTATTAAATATGCTCGATTTTCATCAATAAAAATTGAATTAATGTTTGTATAATTAAAGGGTAATATATAAATTATTGTTTATCAATTTAAAATAAAATGTTTAGAATCACCATATTAAATTAAAATTAAAATTAAAATTTTATATATACAACCACATCAAATTCAAATTCACATATTAAATTATACATAAAATTAAACTTGATGTATAAATTCATTTTTATCCTTTTCAATAAAGAAAAACGATTCCTAATGAAAATTATCACATTCAATGTAAATCCCTAGAACCGGTTGGATGTTATGATAAAATCTAGGCAGTCACATATCGTATTCAGAAATTCTTTTCATATTTAAAATAGAGTTGAAATCCATATATCAGTGAGATTCATACGATAACATATATGTATACATATATCGGAAAAAACAGTATAAAACATATACATAACAAAATACCAATATACAAATATATCAAAACAGTAGCAAAAACACGTCACCAAAGTATAACAAAAAGGGCATATAGGGATATACAGTGGTACATAAAAATAAGGAATGGTCGGTCCTCCTGATGCCAAGTCTGCTAGCCTACTGTCTATTACTATATGAAAAGGTTAAAATTTACATAATGAGCTAAAAAGCTCAGTGTGATCCTTGCGGTGTATAAAAACAGATAGATAAAATACTTCAGTAAAAATCAGTTCACCAAACATGTTTAAAAAAATATGAACACTACCCCATCCAATCATCAGAATGTGTAGATTCCCTAGGACCATACACCCACTTGTATACCCAGTAAGAGCCTTATACATATATCATAAGGACCTGCGGTAAGGGCTTACCATGTGCACAAAGCAGAGGAGCCTGCGATAAGGTCTTATAAGTCGTAGACTAGGCCTAAGATACTTCCTCCAATAATACCCCAACGACAGTAATAAACATGTATGTATTCGAGTGAAAACGATAGTTTAATCTATTAAAAAATGAAAATATTTCATATTCAAAAATCAGATAAAGAAATACAGTAACTAGAGATCATATCAAAAATATACAGTAAATCATATATAAAATAAACATCATTCAGAAAATCATGTGTCATGTCGTAAAAATATCCAGTATCATCATAAATCTAAAACAATTCATATATGTAGTTTAAAAGAGTAATGTAACACCATCAAGAAACACCCATGCACCGGTCTAATTAGTTTGATAAGGAAGCCTACTAGTAGGTCTGTTGATCACGATAAACAATTTACGAATGGTGTGGATCTGAGGGACGAGAAGCACTGGATCTAATTGACCATGGGTTGGGAGAAACACAAGTACCTTCATAAAAATATACACTCGAATCAATTACATAATCAAAACTTAAATAAGCAGGCAAAAATGCTAAAAATACCAAGCATTTTCGGATTAACGGGCTCGATTCAGGACTTTCATGTCATAATTTGGCAAAATAGACCGCAAAATTGGACTCAGGACGTCGAAAAACATACGGGTGGAGGTTTTCAAATAAAATCAACGGTGGCCAATGGTTGACCAGTTTAGTTCGGCTGGACCGGTTCGGTTCAGGTCGGATCGAATCGGGTAGGCGGGTTGGGCCAAATCGGGTAAGCGAGTCAGGTCAACCTGTTTCTATAAGCCCACCATAAGGTGGACCTTCCCCATGCGCATGAACGACGTGTGGGGGCGCATAAGAGGCCTTTGGATGGTCGAAAAAATTCTGGAAAAAAAATCCTATATGCATTTTAAGGGGTTTTGAGACACTTACCAAACTTGGTTTACAACGGCGAACGATGGAGACTCGAGTTCGCAACGTTAGAAACTTGATCTTCTTCACCCCGTCACACGTCGACGGCAACAAAGGCAAGGCGAACACCGGTAGACTCGAGACGACACAATGAACACGATGGTACGGGAGGTGTCAAAACCGGAGCAACAGTCGACGACAAAACGTCAATTGAAGTTTGCTTACTAAAAGAGGAAAACTTGAAGAGAAAGAAAAGAGGGTTCCTAAAGAATGGATCTTTTCAAATTTGGGGTTATATAATCACTTAAAAAGAAAAATGATATAATTGCATAAGAGATACTTCGGTTTTAGTTACTTTCAGAATTTGGATCTGAATTTAATTAAAATTTCACTTTGGTCCTCAAATTTAGTTCTTGAAATAATTTTTAAAAAAAATTTAAGCCCTAAAGTGGGGTGTGACATTCAATTTAAGTTAAAACTACTTTACCCCCAATTAAAAAGGGTCATGTTATGGGGAATTGTCAAATCTTTTTAATGCTAGATCTGGGCTGTTAGATTGAGAGTAGGGCTTGTAAATGAGACGAAACAGATCGCGAGCTACTCGAGATCGACTCGATCAAGGCTCGATAAATACTCGGATCGAATGGATTCGACTCGAGTTCTTAACGAGCCGAAACAAACTACTTGATATTCGACTCGAAATGCTCGTGAGCAGCTCGAAAACATAATATATTAAGATTTTATTTTTTAAAAAAATAAATTATTAATAATATTAACATTTATGTATTGATTTTTAAAAAAAATAAAGTAATATCTTCATGTATTTAAGGTTCAGGTTCGAGTTTGAGGCTTCAATCGAGTTAAGTTTAAGAATTTTTTTCTTCATTTCGAGCTGCTCACGAGCTTCAGTTCAGGATTTCAAGTTCGAGTCGAGCTTGAAAATTTTAAGCTCGCGAGTTTTCGAGCCGAGTCGAACTTCATTTAAGAGTTTTCGAGTCAAGTCGAACTTTATTTCAGAGTTTTCGAGTCAAGTCAAACTTTATTTCAGAGTTTTCGAGTCGAGTCGAGCTCAACACTACTCGATCGTTTACACCCCTAATTGAGAGAACGAATTCATGAGGGAAGTAGTGGTCAAAGTAGTGGTCAAAGAGTGGGAGTTGGCCTTCATCTTTGGCACGTTTGACGGTTTCGTCGACTTTGAAGGCGGTACGGTTGTAGACAGAGATTGGGTAGCTATTTTCTTCGACATTTAGAGTGAGGTTTTGGTTCATGATGGCTAAGCCTATACGAGAAAGAGCAATTGAGGCTTCCATTTTAGGAGGTGGCAGAAATGGCGGTGGAAAAGAGGAGAAAAGGGGTCAAATATAGTGGATTAAATTTATTAAATTAATTTAAATTATGACCAAATTTAAAAAGTATAAGTTATGAGGATGAAATATGTAATTATACCAAATTTATTAATCATTACATTAATATCTTCATTAAAATTTAACGACATGTTGTTTGATTGAAACTATCTAAATAGTTATGTGATCATATTGCTAAAATTAAAAGTATAGTAATCATATCGATACCAATCTCATGGTTAAATAATCATTTGAATAGTGTACGGCTTTACGCTATAAATTATTCAAATATTATTATCTAAATATAAATTAAAGTTTAAACTATAAGTAAAATATTTGAATCTGTTAAGTTTGATGATTAATATTTGTTTTCTTTTACAAGTAAATATATATTTTTATTTCGTAACCCGAAATCAGATTCGGATATGTGGATTCACATTGGATAAATGAATATGCAACAAATCTTATGAAGGCAGCAATTGGATGAGAAACTGAATTTTCTTGGGTCTTTTAAATCTTAAATTTTCCAGGCAAGGAAATTACCGATGTTTGTTAAAATGTTACAAGAACATTAACCAGTCAACAAAAACAAGGTAGTTGTTATTACTATTTGACTAGCAAAATGAAGAACCCAAACTTGTGTTAATCTTGGTTTTATGTTACAGTTACCTGTTTCCTGCTTAGAGAACTCTATAATTTAACACGAGCCTAGATTTTCAGACCAGAAGAAGACCATGTTAGAAGACAAAGCTGACTCTCGGTGTTCCACGTTCATCATCCCTATGTTCTTAATCCTTATTACGGGTGTAAATCCATTTAGATTCTTTTAATTCATAACAATATTGTTACTCTTATCCTGAACTCTTGTATCTCTAGGGATCCATTTATGTTTGATGAAGTTACAAGTGCTTTAGATTTGCAGTTTTTTCTGCTGTTTCAGGGAATTCTTCACTAGACAGAGACAAAGAAGTGATGAATCTGAAATCTTTTCTGAAAAAAACAAAACCGAGTGAATCGAGGAAGATACGTGTAGTGGAACTGAAGGGAGCTCAAATGCATGTGATTGGCATGGCGTCTTATGCTCTAATGACGGGGCAAGAATCATTGGTATAGACCTATCAGCCAGCAAGATTTCTGGGGAAATGTTTAACAACTTCTCGGCCTTAACTGAACTTCAACATCTTGATATCTCAAGAAACACACTGAATAGAGCGGTTCTTGACGATTTGAATAGATGCCACAACCTTATGTACCTCAACTTATCACACGATATTCTCGGAGGTGAGCTGAACTTGACTGGATTGACCAGTTTAGAGAAGCTTGATTTGTTCACTAATCGGTTCTATGGGGAGGTTAAGTTTAATCTCCCAGAAATTTGCCATAGACTAGTTGTTGCAAATCTTTCAACCAACGGTTTCTCCGGTCAACTCGATTACTTCGATGGGTGCTCGAATTTGCAGTATCTGAACTTGAGCTCCAACAATTTTAGTGGTAATATTTGGACAGGGTTTGCAAGGTTAATTGAGTTTTCACTTTTTGAAAACCATGTTACAGAATCAGTCCCAACATCATGTTTTAAGGAGAATTGTGGTTTGCAGGTATTGGATTTATCAGAAAACGAATTACATGGTAAAGTTGCGGAGGAGATTTCGAATTACAAGAATTTGGTTACCCTGAATTCGATATGATGAAGAAGAAGATGATGATGATGATTCGAGAAAAAGGTTGCTCAGAGGTGCTTTGGAGGAAAAGAGGAGGAAGAGATTGTGGGAGAAGGAGGACGACTTGGCTGATAGACTGAAAGAAGAGAAAGAAATTGCCTAGGCCAAGAAAAGGGCAGAGGAGGAGCAGCTGCAACTGCAACAGCAACGAGATGCATTAAAGCTTTTGTCTGGTCGCTTTGCAAACGGAGCTGAAAAGACTGTGTTGACTGAAGAAGCTAGCAACGAGAGCAAAGATAAGGCAATTGAACAGCATTATGAGAGTGAATCAAGTCCTGAAAACCAGATAGTTGGTATTTGTTCTTCTTCTTAACTATGTCTAATTTAATTCTTGTGTTCATCTTGTTTTATATGTTCTTTTCTGAAATGAAATACGTTTTTGTATGACGGGTGATGAGAATGTGCAAAATGGTTCTGTTGATGAATCAAACACTGCCTTTGTTTCTGCCTCGGATACACGGCAGAGTGGTAATGCACCAGCAAGAAAGTTGGGTTTTGGTCTTGTTGGATCTGGAAAGAGGACTACTTTTCCATCTGTTTTCCACGAGGAGGAAGATGATGATGCACAGAAGGAGAATAAAATGAGGCCTCTGGTTCCCATTGATTACTCTAATGAGGAATTGCAGGCTGTCCAACCTGGTGCACCTTCACCAAATTTGGTTGCAGCTGCAGAATTTGCAAAGTGAATATCGAATGTTAATCCTAAAGAGGAAAAGCCTGATTCGGAAAGAGAGCGAACCAGGCGTTCATATGATAAATCTAGTAGGGATAAAGATCGTAATGATGAGGATAGAAATCGCAACAGAGACGAGACGAAAGAGAAAATCCCTGACCGGGATAGAGACCGGGAACATGGACATGGTAAGGTGAAAGCAACAGATAACCCGAAGTTTTTGGATGTGAAACAATTAATTGATATGATTCCAAAGACCAAGGAGGAACTATTTTCATATGAGATAAACTGGAATGTATATAAGCAGGTAATCATCCTTTCACATGTCCTTTTTCAAACTGTTATTTTTGAAAAATATCTGTCCTCTGGTTAGGTTAACTAGTTACATGGTGCATAAGTTAACTTCAATTGCATTAGGCTTGTTTTGTCCTTGGCATATAGGGAACTAACATGAATATTACAGTATCCACATTTCTCTTCTGCATTTGTTTGAAACAATCATCTTTGGGCAGGTATCTTTTACCTTATAATTTTAGTTTAAACCCAATTAACTCCTTGACACTAATTCTAAGATGGTACTCTCCTTTTTTGATGCACTTGTATAGCATGCATTGCATGAGAGAATGAGACCCTGGATTTCAAAGAAAATTACAGAGTTCTTGGGAGAAGAAGAGAAAACTCTGGTTGATTACATCGTATCGAGTACTCAGGAACATGTCAAGGCTTCCCAAATGCTGGAGTTGCTGCAGTCTATATTAGATGAAGAGGCAGATATGTTTGTGCTTAAGATGCTGATATTTGAGATTAAAAAAGTGGAGACTGGTCTGGCTTTGCGGTCCCGATCCTGATCTAACATTGTTGCCGTGCTGGCGGTTCATGTGTTGCTCAACGGGACTGATATTTTTTTAGCATTTAATTTTTTTTTCTTTTTTAACCTTCAAGCTTTTTTTGTCAAATCGAAGAGAAAAAACAACTGTTTATATATATACATAGCCATGTTTTATATATATTTTTTACAGTTTTTAATATTTTAAAATTAAATATTTTTTAAAAATTATATAAAATTAAAAATAGCTGATATCAATATAGATAAAAATACAAAATAACTTATATCAATTTATTAGATCTGTATTTTTTTTTGGTTAACAAATTTAATTTAAAAAAAAAAGAAAAGGCATTTAAAGACTAAAATATTTGGAGATAATTGCACAAGAAGTCTCTAAACTATGATCTCATTTTAAATTAGTATTTAAATTTTAAAATATTCTATGTTGGTCCTCAAACTATGATTTCAGTTTTAAATTAGTTCCTAAACTTTAAAATATTTTATATCAATCCTAAAACCATTAATATCATTATCTTTTTTATCTTTTTGTTATCCTACCGCTACCTCTATAATTAAAACAATTTAATTATCTTTGAAGGTCTTGCGAATTGAACTAGTGACCTAAAAAATTTCATAGGACCTTTAAAAACGTATCAAACTTTTTTTTAGAAGGTCAGCAGTTCAATTCCCAAGATCTTCAAAAATAGATTAAACTATTTTAGAAGATCACATGTTCAATTCTCATGACCTTCAAAACTTAGTAGTGTTAACGATACATTAATAGAATGATCAAAATAGAATGATACTGATAGTTTGTGGATTGATAGAATGTTCTAAAATTTAAGGACCAATTTAGAATAGGGGTCATAATGTAGGGACTTCCCTTGAAATTAACTCAAATAATTGAGGTCAAAAATATTATCAAGCTTTAAATTAAACTTTATTTGGACCATGCTAACTTTTTCTAAGGCAGTATATGTAGAATGATATTAATTAGATTCCATTTGTGTTCAAGGGACGTAAGCTTTTATGCTCCTTGTAGACATTTGGCGCCTTGTGTTTATCCCTTGTTCAAGTAATGACGGTAAATGGATATTAACTAAATTTCATTACTTTATTCACTGGAACAAACTTTTAGTTATTGACATTTATGATTCCAACAGCATCATCTCTTTGGTTTGCCTGGATTCATTTAACTCCAGATTCCAACTGAAAGATTTGGCTATTTTTCTCTCTTCAAATGGCTTTGGATTTAGCTTGTTTCAAAATGGTAAACCACAAAGCATTCCCTTTCATTCTCGTGAATGTCTTTGCTCTGTTTTCCTTCCTTGATTTCGCCTTCTCCGAGACTTCGGCGGCAGGTGATTGCATTCTCGATATTAAAAACCCTTCCTCCGCAAAGGAGCCGGATTGTGAATCAGCCAACTGGGCCGGTTTCATCGACGCCGGTTGTTGTGGTGGCGCCTTTGAAGAATACATTCATGCCCTCGGGCGGCGAGCAAACCTTACGAAAGCCATTTACTTGAATACCACGCAACAAAACAACTGCTTGGCAGCAATGGAGATCTTTGAGAAAGATGTATACAGCTGTGGTATTCAGAAGCTAACGAGTGGAGCTGGTGGCTGTTCGGACTATACCATCACTGATGTTATCGATAAGATGGGAGATAGACTCCGAAGCTTACAAGAAGATTGTAGGGTGTTAGGTACCGGTAACGGATCGCATCAATCGTGTGGTACATGTTTGAGGAGTTGGGAACAGATTAATCTTGCGGAACACGTTACCGGTGATGCTGATGTATGTAGATTTGCAGCACTGGTATATATGATAAGCAATAGGGTTGACGATGATAATTGGGTCCTTGCAGTATTTCAATGCCTTGGAGAAAGGGCTTATTCCTTAGGTAAGACAAGATAACTGTCATTGCCTCCTCGATCCCGTTTTTCAACGTAATTCGCCATAAGATCAATGATTATAAGTTATAACTATGCATATATGCTCACTTCATGATTCAATTCTGTTTTATTTTATGAAACTGCACTTTCCTTCTAACTTGCAGATGAACATGGAAGCACAACTAGCAAAAATATCCATAAGAACGGTAATCGCAACCGTAATCATCGGGAATCTCGAGTTCCAAGTCTTGATGTTTTAACATAATTATTGACTGAAAGGTGTAACACTTTGTTGATCATAATAGGTTTATGGGTTTTAATTGGAGGGTTAGCGGTAGCTTTGATAATAGTAGTCATTTCTACATGGATCTGCTACAGAGAGGAAAGAACAAATCCTGCCTGCTAGGAAAAATGGTAGTTTTTTCTGCTTAATTATTGAACCAGGCTAAGAACAGATTACTAATTGCTATTGCTAATCATCATCTTCTTAATTTACAGAGTCGGACGACTCGTTCTCCAAGCATTCCTCTTCTCAGAAGATATCTATCAAAGAAGTTTATTCAGCAACAAACTATTTCAATGCATCAAACTTCATTGGCCAAGGCATAGCTGGTTAGACCCTAACTAGGACTGTTTTGGATTTTTTTTAAGGTCATTACTGGGAGATCTTGGATCCTCATTTCGTTCCGTTATGACCAGGAAAAGTATACAAGGGTCTTCTCTCAAATGGCCAGTATGTCGCAGTTAAGCATATTATCAACGATGGACAGATTGAAACTTTTGTCCGGGAAGTCAGAAGCTTATCTCATATCAAGCATCCAAACCTTGTAGCTCTGGTCGGCTATTGCGAGAATAAAGATGAATGCTTCCTAGTGTATGAACTGTGCCATCATGGGAACCTATCAGAGTGGCTATATGGTATGTGGAGTTAAATGTCATTTAAGTTTTTGTTACATAGAGAGCCATTCACACAAACATATTGAGCAGGAAAGGATAGAGCTATTTCATGGATTCAAAGACTCAAGATTGCAATAGACGGTGCAAGGGGACTCTGGTTTCTCCACACTTATCCAGAAGGCTGCATCGTTCATCATGATATTAAGGTACATTCGAGAACATAGGAATCATTAGTCTTCTCTAATTTCGGTATATTTACGGTGTTTTCTGTTTTGTCAGCCAACAAATATCCTAATTAATGATAAATTTCAAGCAAAACTAGCAGATTTCGGGTTGTCTAAAGTTATGGATATAGGTCAATCCCATGTGAGCTCAGAAGTGAGAGGAACGTTTGGTTATGTCAACCCTGAGTACCGTAGAAACCGCCGCGTGAATGCATCTGGTGACGTTTACAGTTTTGGTATAGTACTTCTACAACTTTTGTCGGGGCAGAGGGTGCTTAATATGAATCTTCACACACCACTGCCTCTAAGTAAAATGGTAACAACGATCTCCATTAAGTTTATAGTAGATGTCCATCCTTCCTATTTACTAAGATCCCAAATGGAATTTTTTCTCACTTCTCAGGCAAGAAAACTCACCAGAGATGGGGGCATAAGCAAATTTGCAGACCCGAAACTTAACGGGGAGTACTCGTTAGAAGCTTTTGACATCGTGCTCAAGCTAGCTTTGTCATGCATAGGGATAAAGCAGGAAAGGCCATCCATGGAACAAGCTGTAGTAAGACTACATAAAGCACTTCATATCACAATACAAGCAAAGCCAGTTGCATCCCGTGGAACGATCGTATACTAAAGTTTTAAAGAGGAAACACGAGACATTAAGTCTTCATGTTTGTAGAGATTTTAGCATTTATCTTATTAAAAAAGATGGACAAAGAATCGTACAACAAAGTAGTAGATGTTTATACATGATATTGCAATACAACTTGAGGAATGTGTTTTTACATCAACCGTATTACAGTTTTACGACCTTTATTTCACTCAGCTTCATTAAAAAAGGCAAAAGCTAAGTGGATGCTCTTCAAAAAATCGAGCTGATAAAGCAAGCAAGCAGTGTGGACACTTGCGAGTATTTACATTGATAGATTTCAGGTATGGACAAAGATCGGATCACGAATTACCACACATGAACGAATCGTTCCTGTGGAAGAACTGGGGTCACTGAAGCTGAGGGGTTGTTCTTTTCATAGAACTGGTGCAGAATCTTGATGATTGCATGGGCCTTTTTGCGAGCTCGAGATGTGCCTTCACTAAGTTGGGAATACAAGGATCTCCTAAGAGAAGGAATCTTCACCAATCGAGCAACGACATTGAGACCGCCATTGACACACAGAGCCAACAACATGGAAACGCAGTACTCCTTAGTTGTCTTAGAAGTGGAGGTATTTAGAATCTCCACTAACAACTGCAAGCCTCCACGATGCAAAATAAAGACCGTGCCGTCGATTTTCTCAGCTAGAGTAGCTAAAATTGCTAGAGAATCAGTAATAAGATCTTCCCTTTCCGAATCTCTCAAAAGATTCAGCAACAAAGGAACAACCCCAGATGCAAGAACCCTCCAATAGTTCCTGGGATGCACTAGAAGCCCGGAAATCGCAATCAATGCATTCCTTTTGTAATGATGGTTTTCATTCTTAATCAAGTCTACTAATCCTGGAATAGCATCGGGATTTTCACCAATCAAAGCTCTGTTTTCCTCAACTGAAGCAAGATAAAACAACGTAACAGCAGCGTGTTGTTCAGTTTCAATCTTGAGTCCCTTCCTTAAAGCATGGACGATCAAATCCAACCCTCCGTTCTCCGCCATAACACCTTTGCCTTTTGAATGCTTTGAAAGATTCAAGAGGGCAGCAATGGAGTTTTCTTGAGTGTTGGGATCTTCAAACAACAAAAGCTTCAATAAAAGTGAGATCGTGCCGGATTCAACCAAACAAGACCTGTTAAAAATGCTTGTTTTCGTAAGAACCCAAGCCTCGAACGCCGCCTTGTTCATCTCTTCACCACTTCCATTGATAAGTTTGTTAAAAAGAAAACCAGCCAATATCTTTACAGCTCCTTCTTCTGCTAAACTCCCCGCCATGGCCGTCCTCTAAATATCCCGATTCTTTCCGCTGGATACAACGATTGGGACGCTGTTTTCAGCACAATATTGTTGGATCATCCTTTTCAAGACGAGATTGGGAACCAATCCCGTACTAGTAAGCTTCTCGCCGGTCTTGGGACAAGTTGTACTCCCCGAACTGAGCCATTTTAAAATCGAACAACGATCGTAGGTGTGCCCCGATGATAAAGTCACTGGATCAGACATCATTTCTAATGAAATCGGACACTTGAGATCATCAACGTTGATCCCTTTAAAACCTTCGCTGCTGCTGTTGTTATATTGGCCATTGAGATGTTGACTTTCGAAGTCAACGCTGTCAAACATTACGCGTCTGCAATAGATCATGAATCCCATTAAACTACTCAGAAGCTCTAATTTTCTTTCCTTCCCTCCGTTGGAAAACTCAGACCCGATTTCTGAATCCAAGAATTTCACTTCCTTATTACAACTGCTCCATTCATGAATCCCGAGATGGTTCAAGATCCACCTGATTTCAATCGGGTCGGGTGCGTTTCCTTCCTCGAAATGGTTCAGGATTCGCATGAGATCTTGCACGGCCTTTTCATCTTCGGGGTCGGGCTCGAATGCTGCTTTCCTAGCTTGCCTTACGATTAACTCAACCAAATCCTTGGCTTCATTCGAAATGACTACCGTTGAAAGAGGAAAAACATCCAGACTCGTCGCCAGGCCCCGGAATACGATCCGGAATCGGTTCGCAACCCGATCCGAATTCAGCAGCATCCACGCTCGAGCCCCGTTGCGAGTGCAGTCTTCCAGAAGGTACCGAATTTTCTGGAGAGACGGATGGAGCTCGGACAAGCTGAGGATGACCGAGTCAGGTAGATCCGACTCCGTATCTCGGATCTCCCGGAAGAAAATAAGAAGGTTCGTGATTTGACGAAACGTTTCACGAGCATTTCTCTTGTTTACGGAGAAAAACTTGGATTTGCAACTGCAAATGTCTCCACCGAGATCGATAAGCGAGTCCAGGAGAGTTAATGGAGAAATAGAATCGCAAGGATGGATAACCGGGTACGTTAGAATCCGACGACCCGACCCGCTCTTATTTTGGATCATTTACCCGATAATTTAAAAGAAACAGAGGAGAGATTGAAACAAAAAGCTTGACTTTGAAGTTTAGCTTTTGGATTTTGGGTTATGCTTTTAGGTATATTATATATAGAAGAAAAGTGGTTCGACACGTGTAAGAAGATTACTTGATGAGAGGGTTTTGGAGGTAGATGGCACGTGCAGATGTTGGAGATTGGGGAAAGAAGTGTGGATAAGCAAATGGCTACTTGACGCGTGTTCGTAAAATATGGAACGAAAGTACGTGAAGAGAGGGAGCCGACATAGGGTGGCAAATATAACGTGAAATTATTGTGAATCCTAAGTACCAATTATTAACATTTAGATACCAAACTTAAAAGCTCAGTTGGTAGAGCACAAGGTTCTTAATCTTGAGGTCGTGGGATCGAGTCTCATGGAAGACATTTTATAATTTGGAGGTCTTCTACGGAAGCTGCTCTCAACCTAGTATTGGGGGCAGTCTACTATCTTACCTCCCCTTTACCCCATTACATATAGGAACAAGGGACAACCAACCAATAATCATACAAGAAAAATGTTAAAAATATAATTAAAATACTTGAATAAAAGATTAGATACAAACAAATATAATTTTATTGGCAAACAAACTACAAAAAATATATCAAACTATTAAAAGACCACCAACAAACCATAAATCATAATTGAGTGACGTAAGAAAAATATCAACGAGCACAAATCGTGTATTCAAATCCAATATGAGTGTCTAAAGCAAGAAATAGCAACATAATAACAAATATACATTATCTGATCAGTCGTGACAATATCAAATATAATCCTAAGAAAAAATATATACTAAAACAATTACTAAAAGATAAAAACATACCAAAATACGTACATTGTTATTAAAAACTAAAAAAGAAAAAGAAAAAATGTGATATAGGAAAGTAAAATAAAAACAAGACTAGTGTCGTTGTCTATTTATCATGAATAAAGAAAGAAGAAAAAAATGACTCTAGGGTTGTTTTAGAGCTAAAAACTCTCACTTTAACTTTAAAAATATATATTTATCTTACAAGATATGATAATATATAAATTAAGATATTTTAATTCTTATTTTATTTGATAAAATGAGAATTTAATTGGAAAAACATAAGGAGGGATATTATGGTAAGTATCCCAATATATATATATATATATAAAGTGATAATTATACAATTATTTTATTTAATCAAAAAAATTTCACTCTAAATTTGATTTAATCCAAAGTTATATTTTAAAAAAATAATTTAACCCGACTCAAACCTGAATTAAAAAAAAGTAATCGTATACAATCGAATCAAACTAAAATTCATCAGGTTCAAGTATCATATTCATAATTCATCCCTATCTATCATTTTAATATTTATGAATGTTTAAATTCTTATATTTGAAGCAGTTCTTTATGTTCATGTTGAGACTAGGGTTGTAAATGAGACGAGACAGATTGCGAGCTACTCGAGATCGACTCAGTCAAGGCTCGATAAATACTTAGATCAAATGGACTCGACTTGAACTCGATCTCGACTCGAATTCTTAACGAGCCAAAACGAGCTACTTGATACTTGACTCGAAAAACTCGTGAGTAGCTCGAAAATATAATATATTAAGATTTTATTTTTAAAAATTAAATTATTAATAATATTAACATTTATGTGTTGATTTTTTTTAAAAAAAATAAAATAAGACTTTCATGTATTTAAGGTTCAGGTTCGAGTTTGAGAATTCAATCTTGATAAGTTTAAGATTTTTTTTTCATTTCGAGCTGCTCACGAGCTTCAGTTCAGAATTTCGAGTTCGAGTCGAGTTTAAAAATTTAAAGCTCGCGAGTTTTCAAGTCGAGTCGAGTCGAACTCCATTTTTAGAGTTTTCGAGTCGAGTCGAGCTCAACAATACTCAAACTCGACTCGACTCGACTCGTTTACACCCCTAATTGAGACAGATTTGTTAAACATATAAATGACCTCTTTTATAAGTTACTTTACTTTTTCAAGTTAAATCATAAATATATTATTATTTAATTTAGAGTATCAGAAAATAACTTTTAAGATGATGTTTATTTTAGCTCTCAGATTTGTTTTTTTGGATTAATTATGAAATAAAAACAATGATTCATAAAGAAAATGTTACAGAACATTGACGTATCGTAATTATTGTGTTTCTTTCATTAAAAAATAACTTTTTAAAAAATAGTAAACAAAAAAATACTTTATACAAAAACAAACACTAAAAGTCATAAATATTTTCAGAAAAAAATTATTTTTCAAAAGATGCTTTTAATAATTAATATATATTATCTATGGATAGCATGATTGAAATAAATATCTTTCACATGGCCATTGCTGCCTTCTTCCATTCCCCCTTTAAAATAAGGAATACTGGAAGATAACAGGGGAAAAATGGAATGGCAACTTGCATGAAAGGGGCAATTACTCCATAGTCAGTGAAGCAGGTAAGCTAACAAAAGTTGTGCTGAAGTCTATACACCACTAGTCAAAGGTAAAATTACAGCATAACCAAACATTGGCAAATTACAACTCAACTAATCGAAGACTCTTCTAACGCAATTTTCGTAAATTCCCTTCGACCAATCTCATCTAATCATGTCCTCTCTATCTTTGAAAAAGTTCCAGTCTCCGAGAAGTAAGTACTCTGAGTTCCACTGCCAAGCTGATGTGCATGAGCTTGAGGATTTGTCAGCTCAATCCCCTGTTGAACAAATCATTACCACACTTGCAAAATACTAAGACTTTCACAAACCCTCTCCTGCTCTCCATCAGCTATAGAGAAAACTGACTTACAGTTCTAAATTTTAGAAAGATCAAAATTACATCTAGACATAGCGAAGGACAGCCACGTATAAGAAGATAGAATACAGGAACATCACTCAGGCTAAAAGATAATCCTCTAAAATGCACTCCTACCCGACCCCGACCCCGAGCCACTCTTCTTTAGATGCACCTCCGAAGCCATGCACTTTCTTATTATTGAAGTCAAAAGGAAAAACAAATAGTTCATCTGGATTTTCCTGTGATGTCACCTCTGCTTCAAGCACAGCCTTTAGCTAAACATTACCGATTTTAAGTCCTAGACGCTAAACCCTTTCTTGCACATAGTAAAAGATGTGTAGGTGAACTTCTCAAGTCTTTCCTATGTCAAATTAAATGCAACAGAATAGTGGCCTCCCTTCAGTTCATTTTCAAATTAGAATAAGCTATAATTACCTGCACAGGCGTGAATGCCAAACTTGAAGTCAGCCCAGAGGTAGCACCACTGCTTCCGTAACTCTTTTCCTTGAACCTGAAGTAAAGGAAAGAAGAGTATCACAAAGGTGATCAACATGCAAGGTTGGATTTGGAAACTAGCAGAAAATTTACTGAATTAAGCTAACTGATCAAGGGGGAAAAAATAAAGGAAAAACCTACTTCTTAGCAACTTTGGCTGCAAGTTTGCTCTGACCAACTGAAACACGTAGTTTGCCACTCCCTGCCTGACCAAGCATTCCATAACCTTCACCTAGCCCATCACCTAATATCAAAAGGTAAAAGAACAGTTAGAAAATCGTGGGAAATAGGCTATTGTTCTTTTTCATTGATAAATGAAAAATAGGTTCTTGGTCCTCAAATTAAACGACTAAAATTCCCACCTAGAAAATGCTAAAAGGAATTAACTCATCATGAGGCATATTCAGAACAAAACATTTCATGATCAGAGATTGCAAGCCTATCGAAGACCAAACACATGGTTTTCTACTTTCAAATACAATATTTAGAAAAAGTTGATTCTTCAGAAATTGGAAAAATTGAAGTTTTACCTAAAGAGCTTTCCTCCGGTACACCAAATTGCATCCTGTTTGCCAGCTTCCTCATGTCTGTTATAGCATACCTAAAAAAAATACATAGATACATGCTTGTCAGATAAGCAAGGTGCACAACGCACAAACAAATTACTACCAATTTTTTTAAAAAAAAAGAGAGGCTAAAGTCATCAAAATAAAAGAACTACCTCTCTTTCATCTTCCTTAAGCGACGACCACCCCTCTTTTTCTTAGGTTCGGAATCAGGAACAGGAAGCGGTTTAGGCTGCTTTGCAGGAGGTGGTTCTTGCCATTTTTCAATTTTCTTATGAATCTCTTCCTTTAAAGTTTTTCCAGCATTACCTGATGGGTCTCCTCTAGTAGAATCTATACGTGCTGCAAGTGTTGCTTTTGAAGCCAAGAGACGGCAAGCACGACTCCTCAAAGCAGGGGGTGTAGTTTGAAAAATCTCAGTCTGTTCAATATAACCAACACGAAATTGGGAGGTTGCAGTGGAAAACCCTGCAAGGGTCTTTTTCTTTGCACCAAGCAGCTGAACATTACAAGCAGGCATCTTAGCTAATGCTGAAAGACCACCAGCAGTACCCATAAGTTTAGCAGCAACAGCACTCCCGACAATGGTAGAAAGATTTGGTGCAATATATCCCATTCTGCTTTCTACAAAATCAAGAACCTTTTTCTTTGCTGCATCCAGAGTAAGCGCACGATCACATGCATCAATAGTTTTTTGAAGAACGTCTTCAGGAAGTGGCTTGCCACTAGTAGTCGATGCTGTAACTGAAACAACCATAATGATGGCTGACGGCAAAAGCCCTTCCAAATCAACCAGGGTTAAATCCACCTCATTCCCAATCTTTTTCACCACACGAGCATAATCGATCGGATGATGTACAAGAGATTCAAGCTCAGGAAACTTCAAACGGTACTTGTCACGAATGAAATTATGGATGATAATAATCTCATTTTCAATATCAACCGAGAGCCCATTACATTCCACGATCAGCTGATACTCAGGATCATCTTCCAGCACCATTCCCCGATTCGATACACCAGAACCCTTCTCAAGCGCCTCTTCCACTTTCTGCAGCATGGTAAAAGAACTAGGAATGGGAATAGTGAATTCACAAACTCAAGCACACAAAGATTCCATAAATCTTTTCCACACACACACACACACACATATATTATAAAGCAATCAAATATGGGAAAATATAAAGATTCAATAACTAACTAGAAAACAAAAGCAACGGCTACGACATGAAACAAACCTGCATTATATCAATGTATCTCTGACTTTTTTGTAATTTGGAAACACTGTCCAGATCATCGTAGTTAAGGTTTTCGATATCCGCCAGGTCACCATCAATATCTTCTTCCATGTTCGTGACATCGTCATTTGTTTCTTCCTACGAGAATGATATGAACATCAAGGCCAAAATGATTATAGAATTTAAAAAAAAAACTGAAATTCAAAAAGGAAAAGAGAAGTATAGTTTCAATTTACGAGAACATCAGCTTCGTTGTCTGATAATTCATCAAGATCCGCAAGGAATGAATCAGATAAAGTCGCCTGAAAATCATAACGCGGTATAAGAACGGACAATAGAATGCAATTATTTTGTCGGAAAGAAAAATAGAGTTATTAGACAGACTATAAAAAACAGAATGGAAACTACAAGAAAAAAACTAACCATCTGGAGCTTTTGCGAGGAATCTTCTAGGGTTTGAACCCTAAATCAAAGAGGATAAACGACAACAAACAGCAAATTGAAATTTCCCGGTTAGAAGAATGAAGAAACCCTAATCTAGGGAAAAGGACCAAAATTCAAGGAAAAGGGAATAGATATGCTTTGATTGATAGGGGAAATATTATGAGGAGAACTTCTTGAATATTGAATGGGCTGGATTTCCCAGCTCCTTCAATAAATTTGTATGTTGGGCCTATGTCATTTATGCTTTGACCCTCCGTTTTCTCTTTTGGCACCATCAGTATTAATTTTTAGGGTAAACTAGTATTTAGTTGACCAATTATTCTTGTGGTTATGTTTTGGTCACTCAATTTTTTTTAAATCATACGTAAATTACGTTTTGGTTCCATATGTTCCATTATTTATTTATTAAATAAGATTCCTTTTAAAATCATATGTCTTTACTCGAATTCAAAACTTTTAGAAAGAACAACATTCTCTTTTATCGTTGATGGGTTCATTCAAGTTTGTTCTTTAATATTATGTAAACTTATCTACTTCCTAATGATGGATTGTAGGAACCAAAATGGAAAATTTGAGAGTTCTTTAATATTTAGAATCAACCGTATGTGATATACAAATATTGTAATTAATATATAGTATGATATTTGAGATATGATTTGCTTGGTTACCATGTTGGATTTCCAAAATGAGTGACGATTTACATATTTTTTTTGTGGCTTGGTGCCAAATTTAAGGATCATTATCATGAATTAAGGGTAAAAAAGATTAATTTTACAAACGAAATTAAAAATTATCATATGTCTCATTTATTTGTTTTTTCGGTCTTTTTATACATCTAGGGTAAATACAAGACATTATTTGTTCAAAGACTCTTAACTAATTGATAATGAACACTCATACTCCTATCAGTGTTCAAATCTGTGACATCTAGGTAAAATAATGAATCACTTAACCACCAATATTGATTGATTCTTGTTGTTTTTTCAGTTAAATACAGCTAATAACATATAATATAGTTTGATATTCTAAAGGTTGAAATTATCTTTAAAATTACTATCCATGAAAATAAATCATTTGGTTTAAGATTATATTTCTCCTTAATATAAACAACATTATATAGTATAATCTTATACATTGAAAGACAAACAAAAATTTTCTGCACTCAATATCGTAATATTATTTTTTATATCATATTATATCTCATATATAAATAAACATAATATTCATAAAAATTATTTAAAAATAAAGTTTTAATATACTAGTTATATTGATAACATATTAGATATATTTTTAAAAAAATTTAAATAATATAAGAGAAATAGTTTTATAAAATTTTAAGTAAATATTTTTAATTTAATTATAAAAATTTAACTTATAAGATAAAATTATATCATAAAGACAATGTGATAAAATTTATTTTTAATTAATCTTATAATTTCCTAACCAAACATTATCATCTTATACTTGTGTCAAAATAAACCAAACAAGATAATCTAACCAGATTGATAGTGTGATAAGTAATGTTACATTCCAATAATCTTATTCTTCAAGATAATCTTATATTTTGTGAACTAAACATACCCTAAGGGTGTGTTTGGTTGGGGGAATGTGAGATTCCCATGGGAATGGAATCCACATTCTCCCGTTTGGTTGGCCGGAAATGTCATTCCTGGTAATCTTACATTACCAATAGTGGATTTTTTGGGTATATTACCGGAAATGTCATTACCTCCCTTTCCTTAGGTATTGTTGGATTACCGGCGTTTTGGACTAAAATGCCCTTAATTTTTTTTATTTCAAAAATATCATTATTCTGTTATTGAATAATAAAAATTCTACGAAGGTTAAATTACCAATTTATCCTTAAACTATTTTAGATTTACAAAAAAAAATCTATAATTAAAATTTTATATGAATTTCAGGGGATAAAATAAAATTTTACCATTTCATTAAACTTTTTTATATTTTCAATTTTGTAAAAATCATTATATGAATTTTATGAATTTAAATTTTTTAAAGAAAATATATAAATATTTTCCAACTTGTTAAAAAACAAATATATAATAAGGACAATTTGGTCAAATATACATTCCAATAATCTTTTATTCCTTTAACCAAACACGGTAATCTTACATTCCTGCTAAACCAACCAAACATAAAATACAACATTCCCAGTAATATTATTCTCTGGTAATCTTTTATTCTCACTGGTAATCTTACATTCCGTGAACCAAACACACCCTAAGAGTAAGAGTAAGGTACATTAGATGTTACTTAATCATATATAAATACTCTTTCAAGTCGACAACCTTTCACATGTTACAAAATTATCATTAAACTTCTAAAATAACTATAAAATGATTATTAATTTTTATCAAATTATTATAAATTGATCTTTAAACTTTTTTTAAAGAGAGTTTTGTATTAAAAATCGAAATACAAAACACGACAACAGCATGGGGTTCATTAAAAAAACCTCCATAAATCTATTCCGAGGAAAATGAGTACACCATTTGATGTCAATACAGCAAAACAGTTGCCATAATAAAACGTATCAAACTTAGCGCTACAAAAGCACAACCATAGGATAAAACACTAACCGTTCCCGTCAAGGATAAAAAACATACATCTAATGCTCAAACCAACACAAAAGCAGGACCCTGCATTACAAGAAAGCAGCCTGCAAAACTAATTACCACACAGACCTCCCAATTATTAGCACAACAGCCTTCAACAAAAATCAAAAACATGAGACTACTACATAGGCCGCATTCCTAAAATCCACGATCAACTACGCAGCTTAGTTGCAACGGAGAGACAGCTTGAACCAAAAAAGCTGGATCACACAAGTCATAGCAGGAACTCAGCAGCCAAGAATACGCACCAGGGCAGAAACGCAGTTAGTCCACCGTAGACCGTAGTAACAACAAAACAATTATACTCTGCTACCTCACAACATCAGTGCTCCAATAAAACTGCAGCAAACCACGAGGTCTGCAACTTGAGCTTCCATTGACAGCAGCGCAGCCCAATCCCAAGCTAGACGAGTGGCTCACACAAAAACAACCAAGAAGCCCTCTACACTATCGCCTTTTTTGCTAGCATATCAGCTTCTACATTGCATCGCCTCGGAATGGATTTAACCAAAATATTCTCCCTCAAAGACGCACACGATAACCTCTGTATCACTGATTCCCAATCTTTAGGGGTCTTTAGTGGATTCGAAATTGCACCAGGGCAGAAACGCAGTTAGTCCACCGTAGACCGTAGTAACAACAAAACAATTATACTCTGCTACCTCACAACATCAGTGCTCCAATAAAACTGCAGCAAACCACGAGGTCTGCAACTTGAGCTTCCATTGACAGCAGCGCAGCCCAATCCCAAGCTAGACGAGTGGCTCACACAAAAACAACCAAGAAGCCCTCTACACTATCGCCTTTTTTGCTAGCATATCAGCTTCTACATTGCATCGTCTCGGAATGGATTTAACCAAAATATTCTCCCTCAAAGACGCACACGATAACCTCTGTATCACTGATTCCCAATCTTTAGGGGTCTTTAGTGGATTCGAAATCCACTCCACCACCTTTTCTCAATCACTCTCAACAATTAGGTCAAACACCCCATATCATACTAACCCTAAAAAAGTATTCAGAGCATGTTCAATAGCCAAAGTCTCTGCCAACACAGGGGAACCAGACCCATTTGGGATCAAGAAATTTACAATGGTCTTACCAGCGCTATCCCGGAGCAGCACACCGATTCCCCCAGCACTACTGACCGCCTTCATAGCACCATCTACATTAAACTTCAATTTCTCATCCAGAGGAGGCTGCCAAGCTACAGGACGAATTTTCCCCACCCGAGCCGGATTAAAAGCATCTGCTATAGTTAGATCAACACCCAATTCCTCTAAACGAAAAGGGGCGCTGGGGAATTTGTCTAAAAACCAACTGGCCACTCTAAACTTGGCAAGGAAGATCATTTGGTGTAAGTCTATCAACTTCCCATTAAAAATCAGATCATTTCGGAAGGGTCATTTTAGTACAAAATAAATCCTAAAGTTATACAAAAAAATTATCAAATTGTTGATAAAAATGCTGGCCACTCTAGTACAAAATAATTCCTAAATTTATCAACAAAAAAAAAAAAAAAAGTTAAAGGGTCACTTTTAACCTTGTAGTATATTCAATTTATCATTTTCGTCCATATCTTATTTTCGCATTAATTTAACTCTCAAAGTTGCTCAATTGCATCATTCTATATCCTACCCCTCACTTAAAATCCTAAATTGAGAGTTTTAAGTTTTAGATTAAGATTTAGGATTTAGATTTAGAGGTTATAGTTTAGGGTTTAGGGTTATCAATTTAGGGTTTTAAGTTAGGGGTAAGGTATAAAATGATGCAATTAAACAACTTTGAGAGCTAAATTGATGCGAAAATATGATATTGGTGAAAAAAATAAATTAGTCTACTATAGGGGCAAAAATGATCCTTACGCCAAAATATTATTATTCTAACATTATAAAAGGCCATTTTATATATGTTTAAAAAATTTAATGATATTTTTATAACATTTGAAAGATTGTTGATAAAAATATCATTTTTAAATAATTTAATAATTTCTAATATATTTTATCCTAATAACGATAACGATAAAAGAAATACAACAGAAAATTAAAATTATTTGTAAAGAATCAACAATCAGTTGGTCTAATAGGATGAGACACTAGATTCATTAAGTAACGGCAAAGATTAGAGCAAATTGAGTTTAGAGGGTTATCCTTACAATGAGCCTCTATAAAATCTTATATGAATTAGTAGATCAATAGATTATATAGCAATGATTAATTCACAAAAATATTTGTAACAAAATTCTAACATCAATATATTAAAGTAATAATTTTAAGAAATAAATATTTAATAATTATGACATGTTATAGTCCAAAAGATATGCATGATGTACAATAATATTAGGAGTGGAATAGTATTCCACTTATATAATATGTGAAAAGAATAAAAGATATGGTGAAATTCCAAAAGGAAGAGGATGATGGATGGATGAGTTGACATGGTTGGCGAGATATCGGCTTTGGGTTTCATACTTACATTTGGAATTTGAGTGCAAATCTTAA